GAATTGTTCTGATATGGACATGGTATAAATTTTGTTAAACAGATGTCTCGAAAGCGACTGTTTATAGGTCGTAGAATTAGCGCCTTGCCGGTCTTAAACGTGACACATTTGGACACAAGCCAAATACACATTGTGAATGTCCATTCTATTGATTCTAAAACTGTTTATAGACATATTGCTCTAGATTTTTTTTTTTAAATGGCTATCATCGTTTATATTAAACACCAGGAAGACAAAATATAACGTACAAAATTGTTTGAAACCGACAGTGCACAGCTGACATACGACAATTCATAACTGCAAGAATTTCCTTTTTTGTCTGCGCGAGTACCTGTTTGTTGAAGCCAAAATATTGCACAGCATCTCCTATAAATTCTATCGCCATTTACCCTCTCCCCTTAAATGCAAAGGAATGACAGCCGAAAAGGTTTAGCAAAGTATTTTTTATTATATCTGGTATAAAGTGTCCTACGTTTTATCAGGGACATACATAATTCATAAACTGTATATGCACACGAAGTCTCGCTTATATTAATGAGTTTTACTGTAGCAAACCTTTTAAAGTTTCCATTGATAGATAGGTTGTTTGCCTCCAGTATTGTTTGGTAAAACAGACTAAACTTCTAAAATGTCGATTCCAGTATACGATAAAGATTAAAGTTGATTTAAATATTGATAACTCACAGCGGCATTAATCCATTATACAAGTCTAAAGAAGCTGGATTATTCTTCAATAAAGCCCTCAATGGACAATGCCAATGTCAATGAAAGGTCTAATATTATACATGTTGCAAATTACTGTATATACAAAATATGAAATAATTTATATAAAGTACAATACCAGTGTCTGGTGCATATATCGTCCTAGATATTCAAGTTGTACCGCACGCACGGAAACGCATGTACGGAGTCTTGGCGTTTGTGTGATAACAGATAGCTAGCCTACACTTCGACATTATCTTTCTTGATCGTTGAGTTTCAGCAATGTAAATGAAATGAATTTTATAGCCAGTCCATAACGGGTTTTAATCCTGTGCTTTTACAGTCAGAATAGCAATATTGTTTACACATGTTGGCGATGTTTGGGAAATCAAAGACAAAGGATCCCGTTATAAAATAAATCTTTTGTTTTGAATATCGGACAGGATACACTTCAACTATAAAGAACCATATCGTTCGTTTAATACCGTTTGATCGATCAGTCTGTGTAGAAGATATGTATGTTTCTACGGCGATACGTGCTAAACTTCGCAGGCCAGGCGCGTGTGGAGTGTTTTCCTTGCAAGTGAAATATGATCCAGCTTCTCGCTTGAAATGTAACGCAACACTTATTATTGATGACATTCAGTATAGCAGGAAGTCTTGTCATGATCGGTACGAATTTAGAACAGTTCCTTTCACAATCTCTTGTTGCAAATTACATTTTTAGCACCCGAGATTATAACACATAAAGTTGCAATTTTCCAAACGCAACAAACAGACTACTCTCCTACCCCTCCCTGAGATCAAATTCAATTTACCCCCAAAATCTGGGGGTTCACGTGACCAGCTCCGACCAGGGTTGCTAGCGCAGTACCTGAAACATCAATTGAGTCGGGTCTTCGAATAAAATCTTCGCTTTTGCCTTTTCGATGTTTTATGTTATTGTTTGTCTCTTTAAATTCAGTCTAAAATGCGGTTTACCGAATTATCGAAGTGGTATTTCCGTCGAATTTCTTGCGGTAAATAAATGAAGGTAAGTTGCTTAGCAACTGATAGCCGCCATCTTGGATCAGGCTTGGTTACAAGGCAAATTCGAAAAAAGTGAGCCCAAAATATTATTCTGCGGGCGGCACGCAATCATCATAGGGATCCTTGCAGGCTCTCTTTCACCCAGAGAGCCTGCTCGCAGGCTACATTCTACATTTACTGCAGAAGAAACAAGCCCTGGAATAACCCAGACTTACTGAATTTTTATTAGTTACTATTGATATGAAGTGTAGAGAATGGACCTATCTGTCTAATATAGTGAACTGTTTCTCTATTTTCCTGATTTAATTGAAAGTCTAATGTGATATGTGTTATTAATAAAGATTTCTGTTGTTTAAAAATTATTATTATTATCATTAATCTTAGTTTTGGCTCCCCACTGTTAAACAATTAAAATATGCACGGTCTCCATGTCAAATTTCTTTTGAAAACATCAAAATATTGTATGGTAAATTTGAAGCATGCATCAGCGCTGTGAGGTGCAGCATGTGCAGTCCGCGATAGGAAGAAATATGCTACGTTTTTAAAACGTCTTAAGGCTTAAATCAAATTATAAAAATTCTTCCGGCCCCCACCTCCGGCCCTACGACACCAAAAGGTTTGAAAATGAAAAAAAAGAATATTATTGGTCGGACAATTTAATCAACGTCGGGCAAATTTTTGTCCACCTCCCCCAAATTATTTTTTTCGTCCCGTCTGCCTATGATGCATGAGTGGGTTGGTGTAGACCATTATTAACACTATACTGTTTGGCAGCTAATTACTCGACCGTATTTAGCCGGTACTAGAAACTGACAACGCTCACAGAAGATATATAGTCGCGGTTGCAATTGATGCCATTAGTCGTGCTATAATTAAAGTGCACTGTAAACACACTCTCCTCGGCAAAATATGAAAGATTTTCTCGGCGATTTTGACACTGTTCGAGTCTATTACTTGGGACTATATCATATATAACTTTAACAAAAACCTTGCTGTTGCATACTCACACAAATTTATCGGTACAAAATAGTTTAAATTCGAGAATACTATATTATGCCCATAGCTTCACGGCCTGTGTTCCACCCCAGACAATTTAAAAATTTAATTTAAAAATATTTATAATGCACTAATATAAATATTCTAAATAAAAATTCTAAAGCGCATGTTTACAATATAATAACATAAAAAATAACAATGTCGCATAAGACGCATATCTATAATTATTAATTACAGGAAAGTTAAAAAATGTATCATAAAACTATTAAGGGCTACACAGGTATGTCAAAGGCTTTCTAAAAACAAATAAGTATTCAAACGTTTCTTAAAAGAGGACACGTTAGAATAGTCTCTTACATTAAGGGTATTAAACTGTTCCAAACAACAGGTCCAGCTTTTTCCAAAAGTCTTGCAAGTTGTCATGGCCAGAAATGACGGACATTGTGCAAGCGTACTAGTCGGTCAGCGGCTTTTCCGTTTATCCACAAGAATTCCTAATTATCCTTTTACGACCTATCATGAAAGCATCCGGAATTTCAAATATTCGCGTGGGTGCTGTTTATAATGCAAAGCATGAAGTATGCACTCAAGTTGTGGCCTTTAGTTTACCAGGCTCAGGGTGTAGCTAAGCAATGACTACGGGAACGAAAAGAGAAGCTTTCGACGAGTATTTTGGTACCAAACATGTAGCAAGGCAATCAATATTTCGAGTTTGGCAAGCGAATGGAATATCACTTTTCGACCGCGAAGTAATATTATAATATGCATATTAACGCACCGGCTTGCGAATTTCAAAACAAAAAAACAGAGCTTTTATCGGGTGTAACAAAATAATAAACGGCGGAAGGCAAGGCTATACTATTCGTCAAAATAAAATGATTTCAACAAATTTCGATAATGAGTATTTAGAGCAAGACAGCAAGTGCATGAATGGGTCGAAGTATTTAGATTTGGCCCGATTCTTAACTTATTTCGTAATTTGTTGTATTCGGTTGTGCATGTTTCGCAAGGCAAAAGCTTTTCATCTTTGAGAGATGGGGAGTTTGATTTCAGGCATAATCCACGCTTTGTCTCTACAGTGGAGTTTAACAGCGTTTTGGGGGAACAATTGTATCCACTTGTCTATATGATTACCTATACCAATATAAATAAGCAACTCTGTACATATATATAATTTATATTATAGCCGTGCTGGCAGTTTCCTAAGTCCTAACACTTAATTGTGGACGGAACCATCAAAGACCACAAATTGTGGTCTTTGATGGTTCCATATATAAAGCCATGAGGACTCGTTTTAATTTATGCATCATCATTATCTCTCCAGATTAAAGATTACAGATTATAGTACTTGAGATCGTCTTTCATGACAGAATATAGCGGATACTGACATTCTAGAAGATTCAAATGCGTAAACAACCAAAGCCTTCACACGTAGGCGATTTTGTTGCAGGAAATTTCCCATTTTTACCGCGTATATGATTATTTTATGGTTTGATGACACTCCCTGGATGGAAGGAATATGTGACATTCCTGTGGTGTTGTTTTGTATTATATCCTTCGCCAACCTATAAGTACTCTATTCTACGCATTATGGTAGCACACTATATAAATTTTAATTAAGGTTTTTCTTTTGTAACAACATAAAAAATATTCAAAGAAATTCCAGTTTTGAAGTGGATTTGCATTGTACAAAAATTCTTTTGAAGTGCATTTGCATTGTAAAAAAATTGATTTGTATTGTACAAAAATTGAACTAGTGGATTGCCGGTACAAAAATTCAAGATTATTATCTAAGATGTATACCATTATAATTATTGTTATTATACCCTGCCTCGATAATCCTTTAAACATATTTAAATGTATATATATTTTTAAATGTATAAAAAGCACCACATTCACACTCAATAACCAATATTCCAAAGAATGTCAAGAATCAAGGAGACCGAAATATTCTTGTATGAACCTGTATAATTAACCTCAAAAATCGCAATGACGTATATATAGAATTCATATCTTGACAATGCAGGCCAAAATGTCTTTGTACATGACCGGAAATTATTTCACGCACTCTGGGGGTGCTAATGTCAAATTCGGATACACTTAAATTATTTATACTTTACCTACGTGTTCGGCTGGTTTAAAAAATACAGCATACGTATATATATATATATATATTGTGAGCAAGCTTTCAAAACATATAATACTGACAAAGGATACATACTGTCATATAGCGACAAGCTACTGTATCTTGATCGAAATATAACAAAATATCAATGTGCAAGGGTAAAGAGACTGTGGCATTTTTATCCAAACATTTCCTTCCTATAGGAACACTATTTATCATCCCTCTTGGAATTCTTTTTCCTGCTCCTGCAGTCTACCTTAATGGAAAACTTCCTGTAGTCCTGATGTGTATTGTAACATTATTTTTTGTTATTGGAACGAAATTTCGTTTGACAGAGATTCAATCTGCTTTACGTTGTTATAAAGAGACTGCCTTGGGAATAATCGTTGTTTTATTGCTCACTCCAGTTGTTGGAACGAAGTTACTGATGTTACCAAAGTTTCGAGAGGTTCCCAGGTCAGGTTTGGATGCAGCAAATAGTACATTGAACAGTAGCTGGACAATTGAATTACCAGATTTTGGTCCGGAGGAATTTCGTATTGGTCTACAGATATTTTGTGTTTCTCCATGTGCATCAGCATTTCCTACTGTAGTGGTGAGTACATTTTCAACCCAGTCAAGCACTCACTCCATTTCAAGCTAAGGCCATAATATTTATATTGTGACGAAAAACGTCGCTCGAACGTTTGAAGAGTTTGTAATCTTTTTGCAGGTAGTTAAAATGAAAATAACTTAATTTTCGCATGCGGGAAGTAATTCTAGAATACTACATACATTTGACCACACATTTATGAGGTATAAATAATGTATAACAATTTCAGCGAAAGAAATGCACTTAAAGAAACAGGTATTTAATTGGAGTGTCCAACATATAGTAGTCATTTTGTTTTTATTTATATAGTAGTTATTTTGTTTGTTTGCCGAATATAAAATGTCGACTAAGTAAGGCTGGTTTCTTGACGAAAGGCAGACATTTGATAAACGGTGTGAGAGTGCATGCAACCTTTTTCAAAGACAAATTAGTCAAACAAAGTTACTGCATATTTTATATTAAACTAAAAGTTTTATTTATAGAGTAGTTGCGAGGAATGAACCAGGCGGGAACCGTAATCTAATAAATAATAAATACTAATAATAAATACTTCTACTCTAATCCCTTCTATATACCCTATGTACTTCTGCTCCCTTATTAGTTGTAACTCAGTGACAGTGGTGTAGTCCTGGAATGTTAACAAGGGGGCACCCCAAAAGTGTCCTGAATTAGCGTGGGGGGGGGGGATACACTAGTAAACACATGGTAGCCTCGGTTTCTTTTGTTTCAACAGGGACGTTTAATTCACTCTTTCTCGACAACCGGTTTCGTATTACATTTCGATTCAATTTTTCTAATATAAATATCTCGGCGAGTATTTACCCCCCCCCCCTTTTAAATAAATGCCACCATTGAAATCCTCACAATATAACCTTTCGAACGGGGGGGTCAAGTGCCATCAAAACATTACACAAACCGAAACAATCATATATTTATACTCACCGCTTCGCCAAACATTCAAACGAGCAAAAGAGAAAAAGTTGAATATATTCTAAAATTTGGCGTTATTTTCTGAAAGGATATATGTGTAAAATACTCTTTGTATTCAAGCGCTTTCGTGTAGAAACTTTCGTATGAAGTACCCTATCGAACGTAGAAAGTTTATGTAGAAAGTTTCGTAAACACACTCTATCGAACAGTGGAGTTGATATTTGGAATGGCTTAGATAATAAATATAAAGATATAAGATATCTCTACATTTTTAAACGTGAACTTAAAAAGTACTTCCTATTGAAAAATAATATTATATATTCTTAGACTATATATACAAGAATCAACTTCTTAGCACTGTAAATAGTACTATAGTCTATATTCATAATTTGTTTTGTTTTAAGTTTTGAACTGTCAAAAACTTTATTATATAATCTATTAGTATTATTGTAACCTAGGGGACTAAAATAAAAGCCTGTAGAGGTTTCTGGTAGTCTCCTAGCCCTGTAATGTAATTATAATCGAAAACTAATGTAATTATAGCTATTTTGGGCAAAATTAAATAAATAAAAATAAAAAAAAAGTATGAATACGGCGAGTAGAAATATTTATTTTGAATTTTTCAAGGTATCGGGTTTTACTCGCACGCATGGCCAATATTAAGGCGTAATACATGGCCAATAAGGAGCTCCTTTAGCCGGGATGACGTCAAGCTCACCCGTGTAGGTGCACTTTGACCTGTAGAATCCATTTCTGGCATTTCCAGAGTCACGCGATACAAACTTCGCATTGTTTTGACGGGTTTTCGTCGTATTTCCGGTTTGGGATTAACGCAAATTGGGAGCAGAAATGCAAAATTCGGCAACAAAAGTCGCATTTTAAGATAGAAGCTTGATAGAAGCTTCTTTCACCAAAGATAATAAATCATATTTTATACATGTAATGTCAAGTATAACAACTAGTTGATACTCGTATATTTCCTCAATTGCCGAGCCTGTAAAGTCATTGCTAATTTCAGCAATATGGTGTACATTGTTTCATGTCAATAATATGCGGTACAATAAAATCTAACAAATGGAAATCTTACAAATATATGGTCTGTAGTATAAAAACATATACGTGATCAGTCTGAGTCACATATTGGTTGACAGTAAGGTATACATCCAGAGGTTTCCCAGTATGGACCAACATGAAATATGAATGACGATGACGACGTGGAAGAGTTCAGCAAAAAGTATGTGGTGGGAAAAAGGCTGGTTACACAGTACCTAGAACATCTTCGCGAACTAGAAAGAAGGAAAAAAAAGAGGGAAGATAGCAGAAAGCGCGCAAATCTGGAAGAAAAGAGAAAGACCTTTGAAGATTACAACTGGAAAGCTATTTGCAGGGAAGGAAAAATAAAGAAACTGAAAGTTGTTGTATTGGACATGTATATATCAATGAGAAATTTGAAGCAGTCGAAAGGGGCGTTAAGGTGGCTCCATACAGTTCCGTAGTATAAATGCCTTATTGCGTAAAAATTTCAATTTATAAATTTTATCACTCCATCTATTAATTTTAAGCATTGCCGAGTATAAATTAAGTATTTGGTAGAAAAAATTTGCAATATTCTTGAACATAATATTGTTTCCATGGTAACAGTAGCCTCGCCAAATATGGTATTTTTTGCTATTTTAGGCAGGTTTTTATTCTTTATTTTCCGAATATTGCCGGTGACCCCCAATTTTTAACTGCTGTATAGCTTTCACTTATAATAAGGAATCTTATTCCTGAAAATAAAAAAATTCTGTAGATTAGAACAGCCAGAATAAAAAATTGCGGATTTAAAGTTTTCCAATCTACAGATTTTTTTTAAATTTTGATATTCTATTTGTTTTAAAAGAAGTTATCCTTGTGCAAAATTTCATCACATGTCACCGTGCAAAATTTTGAATTACGCCGTTTTACTGTGGTATCTCACTCGCTCGGCCGAAAGTTTTTCGAGCTCTGCAAGATCAATGAATTGACATGCGCGTACATGTTTTCGCAGGCGCATCTCCAGAAAAACACGCACAAAAAGTTTTTAGTCTCGTCGAAATATCAAATATATGTTGTGTTTTCTTGCTTAGACTGCAAATATATTTAGTTTTGCATGCTAACTCGGAATATCGCCATGAAACAGGTGATTGTGTCGTTTGGTATAAGATATGTGTGGCACGTATGAACTTTTTGGCTTCTGTACATGATAGTTATATTCGTTTTCAGTCGAAACTTGTGTGTTTTCATGTTGTTGACAATTTAAAACAGTTTGAGCCGGCGTATGATGCTGTTTGACTGGATTCCTTTGCTGTTAGTGACACTTTGAGTACATTTACCAGTTGTAAGTGTAAAAAACTCTGGATATGAACTTATAAATCGCCAAATATTGGAGTAAAAAACGTTTCGCCGGTCGGGCCGTTCGCCGGTTTTCACAAGAGTTCGAACGTTAAACATTGCATTTTTTACCTTAAAATATCTTCTAAAAAGACTAGCTATTCAATGTTCAGGGCTAAATCAGGACGAAGTTTGTTCTTTGAGAACAAATGAGAACAAAAAAGACTCAAAACATCAAAATAAACATGACTTGTGATTCGGATTTTAGACTGAAAAAGTTGTATTTATTTTTACAGATATTTGTAATATTTTCGCGCGAAAACTCAAGATTAGGTACCAGTCGCCCAATGATGAAAAGTGTATGGAGCCACCTTAAAGCAAGAAAAAGTCGATATCGTATCACTTGACATAGCAAAGTCGCTAGTCCCTGATAACCGTCAACTTTCTGATGATGACAGAGATAGTAACGACCAGGATTCTGGTGACGACGATGTTGTCGTGCAGGAGATTGGAAGTGATGAGGATGATATTGATTCCGACGACGATGAAGGACAAATTTGTGAAGGTGATGCGGGAGAAGAGGAGGAGGAGGAAGAAAACATTTCCAACCTTTTGCAGACCACAAGATCTGGTAGAGTTTGCCGGACATGGAAGGGACGAGCCAGTGCTATAGACTAATTTACATAAAGATTTCAAATGATGTACTATTTAATGCATGTATAGGAGTGTTTTATACTATATAGCCATATTTTATTCACGAAATTATGTCGCTGTTTAATTTGATGCTTGACCGATTGGAAGGAAGCTATCTAAGGAAGGGGACTGTCACAATTTTCTGGGCTATTATTTTGTGGGGGGCTAAAATTTTTGGGCGCTAATTTGAAAGGGGGTCAACATTTTTGGGCCCTCGTTTTAGATATTTTACGGCCCCCCCCCTAATAATTAATGACCGCTCCCTTAGTAATATTGCGTAATTTGATCATATATAAGCCCGCTTGACTTTCAAAGCTCATAAATCGCTACAATGTAGCCAGTGACTAAGACTATCGTTATAGATTAGTATATATTTTTATACTGAATCGAATGGTGGTATTTTCATCTACATAGCGTGTACTGAACCGAAGATATAAACGAAACATCCGTACTCCGTAGAACGTGCACGTTCTACGCGTAATGGACCCTGCTGAGAAAGAGTTCACGTATTTCCCTCATTACCCATGCATACGCTTTTGTCTTCTAAATTTCCCCGGGAAATTACTAAACCTCCCTCGGTTTGCGGGGTTATTTAATCACTAATTTCCCTCAAAGCATGCGTTTACTTATGATAATTGTGGGACAAACATTCGACATTATTCTTATTAAAAACAATTGCCGTTAGTAGTTAGTAATATAAAATATTCTGAGCGTCTCAAAAAAGTAAGGAATTCAAGGTTTCTGTACTACTTTTTGAACATGTAAAGCCGTGCTTTTTCGCTTTATCGATAAACTTTGAGTTTGAAATAAAATGATTTCAAATTCTCGCATGCAAATAACGTTGCTTTCTTTTTTATTTTAAAAAAATCAGTATAATATAATAAAAAAGGGTATATAGTCAATAAAGTATACATTGAAATTATATGCTGTCTTGTTTCGTTTATACGCAACGTAACAACGTTTATACGATCGGCTTTTAAAGCAATTATAAACTTACCTTCGTTAACGTCGGCGCCTTTGCTGCCTTCTTTTAACCGATTCTTTCGCTCTTTTTTCTTAAAAAGCTTTTGAAATTCACAAAATCTTGCAAAAATGAAATAGATTTGCAAGAAATCATCAAATCAAGAAAATGAAAAAATGTTTGCTATTTCGCTGTCGTCATGCAGCCGTTATGCTGTCATTTACGTCATACAGTCCGCCATATTTTTGAGATCAGTGAGGATGACCACCCACGTTGGTCACCCACGCCCGCGATCATTGATGAACTTTAGACTTCGCTAATGCTTTTTTTCCCCGGGTGTAAATAGCCGGGGGGAATTAGTACCCTCGCCCCGGGCTTACGCCCGGAACGGCGCTCCGCGCCGTTGGCTCGGGGATAACAAATATACTGTTTTATAGCCAAACATTTGACAAGAAAATTGACTTAATACGATCGCTCGAAAACGTGGCTGACTCGAAAACGTCGAAGACTCGAAAACGTGGCTGCGTCAAGACCGATAATGTTAAGGCAAAGAGTACAGAAAGTTACAGAAAGGCCTCTACACTTTGACATATATATAGCATATTATGCTATATAGATATATTGCGTGAAGGTTTCTTAATTTAAGAAACAAACAACAACATATTATATTGCTATATGATATTTTGCGTGAGTTCTTAAGAACGAAGCAACAACATATTATATTTATTTATTCATGTAAGGATGTTCCCGTTCCCGTGTTATGTACGCGTGTGGTCTCTTGACAAAGAAGCAAAATTACGTTGATATATTGCGTGAGTTCTTAAGAACGAAGCAACAACATATTGTCATATTATTGATATAAGAAATGTCTATTGACTTGCATATTATTTTTCCATTGGATGCAGTTGATCTCTTGAGAAGGAAGCAACGACATATTATATTGATATATTGCGTGTAGGTTTCTTAATTTAAGAAAGAAAGAAAGAACAACATATTATATTGCTATATGATATATTGCGTTAGTTCTTAAGAACGAAGCAACAACATTATATATTATATTTATTTATTCATATCAGGATCTTCCCGTTCCCGTGTTATGTACGCATGCATGGTCCCATGAGAACGAAGCAAAATTATGTTGATATAGTGCGTGAGTTAATTTTTGACTTAAGAACGGAGCAACAATATATTATATTATTGATATAAGGATCTTCCCGTTCCCGTGCCATGTATGTGGTCTCCGTTGAGAACGAAGGAAAATTATATTGATATATTGCGCGTCTCTTGAGAACAAAGGAACGTTTCTTAAGCGAACGTTCACAACATATTATATTGATATATTGCGTGATTTCTTAAGAACGAAGCAATTACAACATATTAGGCTATATCATGATTGATATATAAGGATCTTTCCTTTCCGCGTTATATAAATGTGGTCTCTTGAGAACGAAGCAACAACATATTATATTGATATATTGCGTGTAGGTTTCTTAATTTAAGAAAGAAACAACAACATATTATATATTGCTATATGATATATTGCGTGAGTTTTTAAGAACGAAGCAATAACATATTGTTATATTATTGATATAAGAAATGTCTACTGACTTCCATATTATTTTCCCATTGGACCAATTGACAGGTAATTTTCCAATGGAAAGGCTATTTCGTCCATTGGATCCAATGGACAGGTAAAATTCCATTGGACAATAATTGGTCCATTGGATCCATTGGACCATTGGAACATCTCTCTGGTTTCATAATCATGTCCACATGGAGTCTTGCAACCTGTTAATTACGTAATGGTAAAAACGCGGAAGCTCTTATCCGGTTGATGCATTGTTCCGATCGGCAACCTTCACATGGTCTGTTATTCGGGTGATGCATAGTTCCGACAGTTGATCCATTGCTGGCCAATGGACATTCCATTTGTCCATTGGATCCAATGGACACGCAAAAGTCCAATGGAAAATTGGAGGTCCATTTGATCCATTTGACAAATGGAATGTCCAATGGCCTTTTGATTATTCCATTGGACATCTTGCATAGGTATTGGACATGTATGTAATAAACTGTGATTATTTCCTATCAAACGTCCATTAAAACGCAATTTGAAAATTTAGATATACAAACAAAATTTAAACATAATACTTCTCAAACAAATTTGACTCCTTGAATTTGATTAACTTACTTGAAAATTTAGATATACAAACAAAATTTAAACATAATACTTCTCAAACAAATTTGACTCCCTCAAAAATTTGATTAACTTAAATGACAGTGACAGTGTCGAAATACGTGTGGGATTGTATAGGAAAGGAAAGGAAAGGGAATACAAATATGCAATACAAAGTGGTGGTCCATGTCAAACGTCAGAGGTTTGAGCAACTATGGCGTACCAGAATGCTCAGAGAAATGAATTTATTGTCGTCTTAAAAGCTTCGAAAAAAGGATGATTATTAAAAATTATCAGGACCGATATATATTGATGGTAAATGATATAGAGGGGAAAGTACAGGACACTATAAACTTCACATCTGTATTCTAACAAGTGACCTTAGCTTGCTTCTGTAGCAGTCTGTAAGCGGTGCTTGTCCAGTTTCTAATGGTGTGCTCTTATTTCGTAGGTAACAGCAGCCAATGGTAATCGAGCATTGACATTATTGATTGCAGTAATAGCGACCACT